TCTTATCATTCCCTTGTATTTGAAACATGTTTTCCTTGTTAATGTGTAAGAAGTAATCAATAACATCCTTTTCTTTGTTATCTGTAAAAAGTAATCACCTAAAGCAAACCTGAGCATAATGAATGAAAACCTTCTTTGATGTGTGCTATTAGAAAGTAATAAAAGCCTGTTCAGGGAAGGGTTGAGGCGCTATCTGTATAAGAGAGTGGCTGTGCCAGCTGTCTGTATAAGAGAGTGGCTGTGCCATCCCTTTTTCTCCATAGAACTTCTGTAGTCCATGTGAATTTGTTTGTTACATCTAGAACATATGGACGGAGTACACATGATATACCAGTCATGACAACTTGTAAAGGAGATTTAACCTGCTTTGTCTTAATATGTGAGACAACCTGACTGAGATGCTCCATATTCCTGTAATTAAGAAAGGCAGTTGTTTCCAAATGTGATTAGGGGGACAACATACTGTGTGTTTCAGGTGGGTACCAAGTGTTTTTAGTGATGAAGAGAGAGCATCTGCTTGACTCACGTGGGGAGGCTGGACAAAACAAGGACCAAGTCCCTTAGTTCTGGGAGTTGCATCTGTGTCTAGGGCTTTAAGTCACCCTTTAGTTGGAGCCCACCTTAGGAAGAGAACTGTGCTCCTGCACTCTGTCTGTGTTTTCAGCCCTGGCAACAACTCACAGTCTTTTATCACAGTGGTAAACATTACTCCTAGAATGTACACTTTGCTGTCATCTCATTGACAATACGAAGTATCATCTTAACTATTTTCCCCATGGCTGTGGTCAAGAAATTACCAATATTCAATTTTCAAATAGATTCAGAATAGACATAAGTATAGGAGCAAGTCATGCAGAATAACCCTCATCTAAGAAGAGAACTTTCCAGTTAATGCAGCACTTTTATTTTTAACTCTGAATTTTGTCCCAAACAGTAAACCTTTGGGGAAAGGCATGGACAATGTGATCTCCATAGGAGGAATTGGCAACTGAGGTGCAGAGGCCTCAGGACAGGGTGAAGACTACAGGTTGGGCAAGTGGCAGAGATGGCTGGCCCTCTGGTTTCTAAGGCCAGGGCACATGGCCAGTTCTCAGTGACTCCCTGAAGAACTCAGGTAACTTCCTCACAGTTGGCAAGCTTCTCTAAGGGAGTTAAGGATCTCATTGGCCTTACTCTAGGAAATAGTGTAGGTCACCCACTGCCCAATTCAGAAATAGTCAACCAGAGAGTGGAGTCTGCTGTCAGCAGCCAATCTGAAACAAGGCTTCTCTCTTCACCTTCTAGGGGCTCAGAATCCCACTAGTGTTCACTCCTTCTGTCCTGCAGCCCTGGGAAGTATGGAAGAAAGATTACTATGAGACATATGTCATCTCCCTCTGACTCATGAGCTGGCCCTGGGCCAAAATGGAGATTTCTTCCAATAAACCCTGAAGGAATTGTTGCGCGGGTCCCCGGCCAGCAGTGACCATGGAACGCTGTGGATGGCTCGACGATAAACACGCGAGAAAAAACAACATGCACAGAGACAAACTAGTTTCTGTGGGGAAGTAGGGACGAAATGGCCACCCCCCTAGTGGGGAGCGCGCCGATTTACAGTCCATACCTGCTTTTATTGGGCTCATTTTGCATAATAATTCAGGTAAAGTACAGTACTCATTAGGGGGAAGTAAGGAACCATAGAAAACAAAGAACTCTGCCAGTCTATTGAGTCGGGGGTCAAAGAGCTGTAAGACTGAGGAACAAACTAACTTCCTCCTAAGACCCTTCTCATTCAACTGAGAGCATTCTAAACAATGAAGGTTTCACAGTAATTTACATGTTCTTTCTTAGGCCTGATCACCCCGGGGAATCCTCACTTCTCAGTACAGAGCTGCACCACCCTGTCATTATTTCTGGCTTAGGTGGAGCAAGGGAACTAAGGCAACTGAGAGACAAGGAGGTTTTCTCTCAGACACTGAGAACTCAGGCTATGTCAAAGCCGAGGAGCAAGGGTCCATCACCCCCTTTTGCTGCAGCCCCCCAAGTCCTTCTTTTGGGGGGCCTCCCAAAGTGATCATGCCTGTCTTAGGTCGTTCCCCCGTGGGAAATCTTACCCATCTTTGGCTAACCGACCAAGCTCTTTGGGGTTCAGTCATGAATAAAGCAGCAGAAGCAGCATTCCTGCCAGGGAGATAAGCTTTTGTCTCCTTGCTGGCTCACGGTTCCAAGGGTGTTCCCTTAGCTTTAGCCTAGGTGGGGGTTTCAGCTTCTGATACCAGTCAGGGCGGTTCCCAACAAGGAATTGCTTGTAATCAATCCTCATCCTGACATAGACCAATAGTCCTCCTCTGCTTCCTGAAATGTGCTGGTTTTTGGAACAGGTAGTTTTCTTTTCCCAGTAAAGCATGTAATACATTTACCTATACATGGGACAGGCCACTAACCAGTATGCATGACTATGCTGTCTTGTTCTGTATACTTATCTGGTGACAGCTAAGGGGTGCATGGATCCATTTCATCTTGCAGCCACCTAACATTTACCTCATATGTAAGTCTCCTTTAATAAACTCTATTAATTTCCATACTAAAATGGCCAGCCTCTTTTTTCCATCTTTCCCTGCCCTCAGAGAAGTATATTTTCAGTCCTGGGGCCTTTCTCTTTTTTTTTCATGATCTAACAGTAAGAGAGGGTATGCACACATACATGGAGTGTCATGGGCCTGAACAGGATTTCCATCATGGACATCCTCATTTACTGACCATAGTCCCTAAGGTTACAGCTATTTTGGTTCTTACATATGCTCATCAAATCAGATAGCTCTAGACAGACCCTTTTGAACCTTCCTATTGAATCTTCCTCTAGCTCACTTGCAACACATAGATCTTCAAGGAAGACAGGTGTCCAGCCAGAAGTGAGCAGAGCAGGGAGGAGCATATTCCCATAAGAACTGGTATCTCAACACTGTACCAGATCCCTACCTCTGTTGTCTGTAAACCAGATCACCTGGCACATGCCCTTACCCTCACGGGCCTAGGGACACAGTAAAGATCAGAACAAATTCCCACTTCTGTAGATTCCTGGGGTAAGAGGGCAGAACCCATGACAAACCCCCTCCCCCCACATACACATGTGATCTAAATGAAGCTGGAATTGTTGAGTCCCTCCCAGGGGCCATGCCTTGATATCTTGTGAGCTCTCCCCTAGCCCCAGATGGTGGGTTGAACTCACAAAGGGTTTGGGCCAAGGTCCACCCTCCATTGAGCTGAACCTATAGGACACCTTCTCCCAGAACTTGCTCAAAATGGCACCTGAGTGAAATGGGTGGGCAGATTCATTGGAAAACATGAATCAGGAAAATGGTGGATAAAGGCAGCCTATAATCTTTATTCTTCTGAATGAGCCAAGTCTTGGGAAAGACCAGGATGGCAGCAGCAGGAAGGTCTTCCATAAAAATCTACACAAACCTAGAAGCAGGCAGACAGGGCTGTGGGACGAGTGCACAACTGCCCACACTGAGTGATGCTCTGCCGGTAACAGGGTGCCAGTGGCACAGCTCTCCCCTTGGTTTCACCTGGAGTCACACATTCTTGGGAAGCCTATCCAGATTTTCAGGGGTCACCCAAGAAGTTGTCTGATACCACATCTCTTCTGGTTCCCACAGGCAGATCCTGAAACAGGCTACTGGATACAGGTATTCTACTTAGGAGATTATTGTTTCGGAGATCACAGATAGCATTATGGGAAAGGAAGGCAAAGAAGAGAGAATGTCAGCATGATTGTTATCATGGTTTACCACAGCAGCCATGAGTTTTGTCCTATCAGGGTGTGTGAGGACCACCTGACAACATAACAACTCACCTCTTACTTGCCTTTAAGGGACTGGGCTCTGGGCCCTTCCTCTGCAGCTCTTCCTCATGGATGGATTGCTGTCTGCAAGTCTAACTCTCCCCCTGCTGGTGGTCCCTGATTTTGTTGATGGAGCACCAGGGGCAAACAGAGGCCCTGTGCAGAGCTGGGGGAGATAAGGATCTTACTATGAGGCTGAGAGTGTGCTAATCCTGGATCATCCAACTGTGGGGGGTCAACAGGGACAGCTAGTATAGATGGGGAGTACTGCCCAAAGACAAATCCCACCACTTGCCTCTCTATACAAATAAAGTCTTACTGGGATAAGACCACCCCTGTATGTGTTCACATTGTCTATGGTGCTTTCCAGATACAAGGCAACATTAGAGAGTTAAGAAGACCACATGACCCACAAAAGCCAAAGAGCTACTGTTTTCCTCTTTACAGAAAAATTTGCCAAATCTTTTTCTAGGCTATCTAGGCAGAATCTCAATATCAGGGACTCTCAGTCTTCAATTGTCCATGGGTTCTCTGAGAATTTGAAAATTTAGTCTCTTTGTCCAAAGGTAAGATCCTGAAAATGTACATTTAAAGATTCTAGGAGATGCTGCTGTTGGTGGCGGTGGCCTCACTTGCTCTTTGAGTAGAGACTAGAATCTGCTCCTACATTGTCCTAGCTGTCATGCCCCAAGGAATGTGTGTGAGCAAGTCATCCGGAACAGAGGCTACACATATTCTGAGGGCCCTGAGGTCCTATCTGCATCCATCCTGCAGAAAAGTGTTCCCTATCTCAGTCATGGTCATTGCATCTGTGGGTCCATGTATTATCCCTCATGAGCCCTGAACTAGCATCTCAGAGGCACCTTACCTGTGCCACCAGGATCTAGCTTAGAAGGTCACAAGCAGGCTGCCATGCTGGGATGAGTCCACCAACTGCCCATCCCCCTAAGTCAGGAATGATGCTACATAGAGCTTGAAATACTGATGTTTAATTATCTATTCTACATTAAATAATGGGCAATGAGGAATTTCAACAGTGCCTGGGTGCAGGAAACCTTAGATATTTTCAAGGCAGAGAACAGAGTTCAGAGCAGCTCAGCCAATGAAGGGCCAATTACAGGGAACTGCTTGTGTCCAAGAGGGACACAGAGGCTGGGCTGGGGTGTGATATCACTCAGTGGAACCCCTCCAGGCAGGTCTTGTTTAGGAGTTGGAACATAGTTTTCCAGGGTTCTGTGCTGATGGTGAAGAAGCAGGTGAAGGTCTGAGGGAATAAGCACAGGAATAAAATATAAGTGAAGAAGCCTTGGGAATCTTGTGGCTCTAGTGCTAAAGATAGCACCCATCCCAAACTTGTATTTGCAAGGTGAGCAGCTGGGGGATGCAGGCTCTGGCCCTCAGGTATAGCCCTGCCTGAGTCTTGGATATAGCTGATCTGACTTTCTCCTGACCTCAGGGTGTGTCACTCTGCTCTCCCCAGACCTATGGTCACCATGGGAACCCCAGGCTTTCCCATTGTGAACCATCACCCTAGTGCAATAACATGTGCTCCCTCCCAGTGGGTCCTATCTCAAGAAACACTGACCCTAGCTGGGCTTTTCCTAGAGCAGATATTCACTTCTTATCTCTCAAGCAGAAACCGCAGCTCATCAGGACCCAGAGCAGAGCATGGAATACAGGGCAGTGAGCTCCCCTCAGCCAACACCCCCACAGCAGGTTCTGCTTAGTGCCAGGATGACCGGAGACCTGACCACTCAGTCAAAGGTGTTCCTCTTCCTGAAAGTAGCAAAGGAACGTGGATAAAGATCAGGAAGAGTACATCCTGTGGCCAGAACCAGGAGACCTGGCCCCTAGGGGCCAGAAGCAATCTGTCACCAGTATGGCCTGAAGTTCAGACAGTTGAACTGGGTGAGTGAACATTTAGGATCTCAGACTTCCCAGGGGCCTATGAGTGGACCCTTGCCTGCCAGGCTGGGCTCTGTCTTTAGCACAAGTGGTGGCTATAGTATGGCCAACAGCTCTCTCATTCTTCTGTGTCCCTAAGAATGGTGTGTCCCCTGCCCCATGCCCACTGCATTCCCATACAAGTCCACAGCTGTGGAACCTGAAGGAGGCACACGTGTATCTCACATTGTTAAGCTCTGGGGTTTCTTGAAAGGGGCAATTGTCAATGTCATCATCAAGTTTCCCACATCTGGTTCTGCGAAGCTCCAGCTCCATGGAGAAAGCCATCATGGTCTCTACCTGTGGTGCATATAGACATTAAAGTGGAAACACCCCTCATGGTCCCATTAAGTAGTTGCTTATATAGACACATGGAGTATGGGGACAAGCCCCAACAGCAAGCCATTTGGGACTTCCCTCTGGGTCTGGATCAGCTCCTTTGAAATAAAGGGGATGTTCTGGGGATGTTCTAGGTAAAGGGGCATATGGTCTCAGTGGAGGCCCTGGGGTGGAAGCAGACTGATTACACACTATTAATATCATACACTGTAGCCTCACATTTCCAAATGCCATAGTGAGATCCCACCATCCCTTTCAGCGTGTTTTTAGCTTCTATAGCACTCACAGGGATAGGTGACAAGTGCTGGGTTGGGTGTTGGTTTTGTAAGACTTTGCTTGATAATCTCCATCTCAGAGTGGGAAACTAATGTAAAACCTCATTTTAACACCTTTTCACCTATCCAATGTCAGAAAAAATGCTGTACAATGCTAGTGAAGCACACACATAATTGACATGATGGCTTCAAGAAACAACTTCTATTACATACTGTGTACTGTGAAATATTCTGTACTCTTTCCACTCTATTCTACTCATTCTATTCCATATCTTCCCACTGCATCCCGTCCATTATTCCCAACACCCAAATTCAGTCTGTGACTCCAGATATACAAAACCCAAAACCCAACCAGAGGTCCAGCTGAAAGAGTTTAGGATACCTGAACCAGCGGGGATGTTGCACACTAATGTCCACAGAGGATTAAACTCAGCAGACGGTGAGACCCTCTGCCTTTGATGTGGCCTCTTGGTGCAGAGATCAAGAGGGTGAGAGAGTAATGCTCCAAACTCTGCACACGCACACACACACACACAGACACACACACATGCACACAGAGTCACACAACCAGAAGTGCTCATCAGGAGATTGTTTTCATTGCTCATATCTGTAGACCAGATGAAAATGGCATTGCTGGTTGTAGTTTGAAAAGTTTCCATAGCAAGGAGGACCTTTTAGGATTAAAAACCATCATCTGGGGAAGAGTATAAAATAACATTGATCTACATAGTTTAATACCACAGCAGAAAACCCAGAGATCATGAAAGTCACAGGTGAAGTCCTGACCCCACACTGTTTGAGGGGGAGCACTCACTGCTTCTGATCCTCAGCCCTGCTCTTCCTCCTCTCCCTCCTTCTCCCTGTGTCTGTCTATCTAATTATCTTCTTTTATTTTATTTTATTAAAGTATTTCTTCAACCTATCTTTTCCAACATATTCTCTGTGTGTCTCTTCTTTACAGGATATCTTTATTCCCTCATTGGCTAATTTGAAGTTATCCTTCACTAAACAATGCCGTAAAGATTGAAAAATGCATTGTATGTAAGTAGACATTGATTTAATTTTTAAATTTCCATGTAAAAACTTTTATAAAATCTGAAACTGAATTAGTTGTATTTTTATGTACTTTAAATGGTATACAAGATCCTACGATCCTCCTGTCCTTTACCTTCACTTAATATAAGTGTAGGCCAGCAGGGCAGAAAGATGTGATCACCTACCTGCTCCTTCCAAGAATTCAAGATGCGTGCCAGCCTGTAGGCATTCATGTCCTTGCTCTTCTGGTTGAATATGTGTAAGGCATATTCCACAGTGGCAGGGAAATAACTTTCCATGACTTTTTGGTCATTATTCTTCCTTTCATCTTCAGAGGTCCAGCTATGAGTCACCTGGAGCTGAGAACTTACGAGAAGCAGGAGCATGGCCCAGGGCAGAACCCACCTCTGTTGCAAGCACAGCAGGGCTGCAAGCAAACAGCCACCCATAGTATTTCCAGCTCAAACTCCCACTAGAACCTACCTGGGCAGTGGTCCAAATTATTTGTTCCAGAACATATTCTTCCTGTGGGCCTCCTCTCTGCTATTACACCCTATCCCTTCCCACATATGACTCTGCCTCCTCCATACAATGTGGCTAAAATAGTCTCATGTCCAGGACAGAGGAATGAGGCCAAGGCAGGTTGGGTTGGGAAGAACCAGCAATAGGAAGAAGGGTCCTCTCTAGCTGAATTACAGCCACAGCACTCCCTCGGTGCCTTAGAAGGTAGAAAAGACTGCTTGCATGACCCAGAATCATATTCTCAAATAATGACACAAATGCAGGAGGTACAAATGGAAGGCAATCCCAAGATACAGTAGTAGAGTGATGGTCAGCTAGACAAGAAGGGGCAGAGCAAAAAAAGGCTGCCAAAAGCCAGCTTTTTGGATGATGAAGGTATCTACCCAGTGATGAATGTGTATTTGTTAGAAATGTGTAGGAGGTGCTTGAGATTTTTACAGGCCTCCGTGTTATGCTGTCCCACTCCTCCACCGACCTTCTTTTGCTTTTGAAACAGAGTCTGTTCCTTGGCTCCTGGGGTTGTGGCCTCACTAGGGATGGTGGAAGAAAAAGCTGAGCTCACTGCATCACTCTTTGCGCAAATTTTCAGTTTATGGATGTGCTTCTACGAGGTAAGCCTGAGGTAAGGCTGGGTAAGTAAATCCCTTCTCTTTAAAGATATTTACAGAAGAAATGGCCACTGACACACACTGCACTTATATTTTTCTTTGTAGGAATTTATTTCTAGAGGAGGTGGAGTGGAGTGAAAGAAACAGAAAAGAAGGGAGAGTGAACCAAATGAGCTCCAGGGATCCCTTAGCTGTGTCCATTAGGTGACCTTTGGTGCCCTCTTGTGGCCACTTTCATCACAACTCATCAGGCACAATTTCCTATGTACAGTTTCCAGTGAAGGAACGTTCACAGCAAATGCAACTCTAGTCAACTAAGATGCAGCTCTGGGATGACACTTTTTGCAAACAAGCTTAAGCTCTGCACCATGAAATGGGCCTCAGGCATCTGTGTGCAGCTACTTGTGAACTCTGAAGGGGACCATAATCTCCTGAAAACCTGTGGGTATCCAGGTCCCTGAGTTTGTTTCTACCCCAGGACTCTGACCCAGTATGTCTGGACAGTGCTAAAGAGTTTGCTTCTTAACCTAAAACCAGAGGATGGTGATGTTCTTAGTCTCTGGATTACATTTTGAGTAGCACTGTTACAGTGAGTCTCTTGGCTTAGATGCAACCAATCCCATGGAGAAATCAACTGTAAGAGCGTAGGGGTGGGTCTTGAGAAGGGTTTCTGGAGCCACACTGAATCAGGGAAGGGGTAAAAACTCCATGCCTACTCATAAAGAAAAAGAGTTTCCAGACTCCAGGCAGCAGTGACCAGAAGGTGCTTGTGGAAGGAGAGAAGGCTACTTTCAACCTGACAACCTATCTTCCTCATAGAGGTCTGCAGAGCTGATGTCCATCTCCAGGAGAGGGAGATGTTAAATATGTTCCAGTCCTTCCCATCCTCAGGTTGACTACATTCAGGAGAGCATGAACTGCATACTCTTAGCTAATGGTCTCCCCAAAGACCTGGTTTTCCAGTTCTCAACCAGGCCACTGTCTATCCTCCATGCGTCTTTGTAATTTCCTTTTGAGACAAGGTCCTAGGTTCACTGTTCCATTCTCTCCCACCAGACAATGGTAGGACAACATCAACTTGAAATGTGTTATTTGTCATGGGTAAAAAGCTAGATATGATCACATGTAAAAGACAGCAAGATGTGCAACAGAACTCTACCAAACAAGTTGTGTCTTATGTAAAATTATTGAAACTTGAAAAAGAAGAAAATTTGCCCTCATGTAGATAGACCAAAATACTGCAGGATTTCATTTTTTCTTGGTTTGTTTTATTGTACATATTCTTCTAGTTATACATTAAAGAGCATTTTATAAAATAAAACCTTACAGAAAATTTGGAAAACAAGAAAAATCACATTTTATGACCATAATACAACTAATACCATTTTTGTATGTGTTTGTACTTTTTATTTATTTATTTATTTATTTATTTATTTATTTATTTAAATTGTTGTTCAAGTACAGTATTCTGCCTTTTACCACCATCCCAGCCCACCCCCCAGCCCTCCCCACCTCCCTCACATTTCCACCTCCCTGCCTTGTTTTTGTCCACGTATCCTTTATACTTGTTCCTGCAAACCCTTCCCCTTATCCCTTGACATTCCCTCCCTTCTCTCCTAGGGTCACAGATAGCCTGTTGTCAATTTCAGTGTCTTTGGTTATATTTTGCTTGTTTGTTTGTTTTGTTGATTAGGTTACTGTTAAAGGTCAGATCATATCATATTGGTCTTTCACTGCCTGGCTTATTTTGCTTGGCATAATGCTTTCCAGTTGCATCCATGCTGTGGCAAAGGGTAAGAGTTCCTTCTTTCTTTCTGCTGCATAGAATTCCATTGTGTAAATGTACCATAGTTTTTTGATCCATTCATTTACTGAAAGGGAATCTAGGTTGCTTCCAGCACTTAGCCATTGTAAATTGTGCTGCTATGAACATTGGGGTGCATAGGTTCTTCTGGATTAGTGTCTCAGGGTTCTTGGGATATATTCCCAGCAGTGGAATTGCTGGGTCAAAAGGCAGATCCATTTTTCGTTTTCTGAGAAAATTCCATACTGTTTTCCAAAGTGGTTGTACCAGTCTGCAATGCCACCAACAGTGCACTAGGATTCCCTTTTCTCCACAACCTCTCCAACACTTGTTGTTTGTTGCTTTGTTTATGATGGCTATTCTGACCAGTGTGAAGTGGTATCTCATTGTGGTTTTAATTTCCATCTCTCTGATAGCTAGTGATATTGAACATCTTTTCATATGTCTTTGGACCCTCTGTATGTCCTCCTTGGAGAAGTGTCTCTTCAAGTTCTTTCCCCATTTTTTAATTGGGTTGCTTGTCTTCTTAGAGTGAAGTTGTGTGAGTTCTTTATATAATTTGGAGATTAAACCCTTGCCTGAGGTATCATTGGCAAGTATGTTTTCCCATATGGTTGATTCTCTTTTCATTTTAATGATGCTTTCTTTAGTCATGCAGCTTTTTATTTTGATGAGATCCCATTTGTTTATTCTTCCTTCTATGTCCCTTGCTCTAGGGGACACATCAGTTAAATTTTGCTGTGTGAAATATGTGAGTTTTTCTTGCCTATGTTCTGCTCTATGACTTTAATGGTATCACAACTTATATTTAAATTTTTATCCACCTTGAATTTATTTTTGTGTATGGTGTAAGTTGGTGCTCGAGTTTTATATATTCATTTTTTGCATGTAACTATCCAGCTCTCCTGCCACCATTTGTTGAAGAGGCTATTTTTATATACTTTATGTTTCTGCCCCCTTTGTCAAATATTAATTGACTGTAGAGACAGGTTTATTTCTGAGCTCTCTGTTCTGTTCTACTGGTCTATCTGTAACTTTTTATGCTAGTACCACGCTGTTTTGATTGCAGTGGTTTTGTAATACAGTTTGGTATCAGGTATTGTGATCCCTTCTACTTTTCTCTTTTTTCCTCAAAATTGCAGTAGCTATTCAGGGTTATTTATAGTTCCATATAAATTTTTGAAGTGTTTTTTTTCTATGTCTTTATGAAATATGCCATTGGTACTTTAATAGGGATTGCATTGAAACTATGAATCGCTTTGGGTAGTATGAACATTTTGATGATGTTAAATCTCCCAATCTATGAACACGTTATATGCTTCCATTTGTTTGTGTCTTCCTTTATTTGATATTTGGGTCTCCCTTTAGTTTATATTTTGATTATTTCTTTCTTTAGTGTTGTGTAGTTTTCTGAGTACAGGTATTTTACCTCCTTGGTTAGATTTATTCCTAGATATTTTATTTTTCTTTTTGCTATATTGAATGAGATTTTTTTCTTGATTTCTGCTTCTGATGTTTCATTGTTGGTGTACAAAAATGCCTTTTATTTCTGGATATTGATTTTGTATCCAGCTGTTTCACCAAATTCATGTATTAGGTTGAGCAGTTTTTTGGTGGAATCAATAGGACTTTCTATGTACACTATCATGTGATCTGTAAACAATGACAGTTTTGCTTTCTCCTTTCTGATTTTGATAACTTTTATTTCCTTTTCTTGTCTGATTGCAGTGGGTAACACTTTCAGTACTATGTTGAATAGAAGTGGTGAAAGCAAGCATTCTTGTCTTGTTCCTGATCGTAGTGGAAATGATTTTAGTTTTTGCCCATTGAGTATGATGTTGGCTGTAGGTGTCTCATACATGACCTTTATTATGTTGAGGAATGCTCCCTCTATTCCTACTTTGCTGAATGTTTTTATCATAAATGAATGCTGTACCTTATCAAATGATTTTTCCACATCTATTGATATAATCATGTGATTTTTGTCTTTTGTTTTGTTTATGTGATGTATTACATTTACTGATTTGCAAATATTGAGCCATCCTTGCATCCTGGGATGAATCCCACTTGGTCATGGTGTATGATCTTTTTAATGTATTGTTGGATGCAGTTTGCCAATATTTTTGTTGAGGATTTTAGCATCTATGTTCATCAGCAATATTGGTCTGAAGTTTTCTTTCTTTGTTGTGTCTTTATCTAGTTTTGGGATTAGGATGACACTGGCTTCATAAAAAGAGTTCAGGAGTCTTCCATCATTTTGGATTTTTTGGAATAGTCTGTGAAGAATAGGGGTTAGCTCTTTCTTAAATGCTTTGTAGAATTCTCCTGTGAAACCATCTGGTCCAGGGCTTTTGTGTGTTGGGAGTTTTTTTTTTTATTGCTGCTTCAATTTTGCCTGCTGTTACTGGTCTGTTCAGGCTTTCTGCTTCTTTTTCATTCAGTTTTGGAAGATTGTATTTTTACATAAATGTGTCCATTTCACTATGTTTTCAAATTTCTTGGCATACAGCTCTTC